TGTTTCTGTGCAGGTTTTGTCAAAGAAAGGGAATCGTGGCTGGGTTTTGTTTTGATGAATCATTGTTATATATTGCGCTGCTATGTGCTCTGCAGTTGTATGTCTAGGCTTTCAACGTTTGAGGAAAAACGGGGTCTAGTTTTTGGGGTGGGGGGGGGGGGGTCTGGCAGAAATTAAATGTTTCTGGGTTTTTTATAAGAAGGTATAGTTTTGGTACAATATGGTAATTAAGTTTGGACATTTCCAGGATTTTGAATTTATTTTGGTAGCCAGTTGGCACCTCTGTGAGATGGAGCGGGAGAGAACATTCCAAAGGATGTTGTGTGGTCAATGTTGGTGCTTGTCCCTCAGCATCCAGAGCAGTTGTCCAACAACTATGTATGTATATATCTGTCACAGAGAGTGAGCACTTGTGGTGTGTTTCCTCACTGTCTAGGGTGGCGCACTTCTCTGGTCTTTTGTGACGCACTGTCTGGTGACTCTGTCATGCACTGTTTAATGACGCAGTGACGTGACGCACTCTTTCTTGACTCACTATTGATGACTCTGTCATGCACTGTTTAATGACGCAGTGACGTGATGCACTCTTTCTTGACTCACTATTGATGACTCTGTCATGCACTGTTTGAGTTTGATGACTCAGTCACGCACTGTCTGGTGATGCAGTCACGCACTCTTGATCATTCTTTGATGAAATGGTGAAATGGCTCAGCGACGCACTGTTTGATGAAATGGTGACTCACACTTGATCATTCAGTCTTTCTTGACAGGGACTCACTCTTGGTCATTTGATGACTCACGTTTTGATGGCTTGGGGACTAACTCTTGATGACTCCCTCTTTCTGGATGACTCACTGTTTCTTGACTAAGTGACTCACTCTGTGATGATTAGATGACTCACATCTTGATGACTCGGTGACTCACATTTGATGACTCGCACATGATGACTCACTCTCAATGACTCACATCTTAATGACTCGGTGACTCACATTTGATGACTCGCACATGATGACTGACTCTCAATGACTCATATCTTAATGACTCAGTCATGATAACTCGGTGACTCCCTCTTGGTCACGTGGTGAGCACCGGGGCTGACAAGCTACGCTCACGGAGACTAGTGAAGGAGAGAGGGAATGTTTTAAAATGTATTCTTGCAGGTTGTTTGGGGGGGTTGTTTTGTTAATGTTTGCTCCCCCCC